TTGTATGCCAGTGTGCATGGCAGTGTTCTTTAGAATAGCCAAGAGGTGGGGACACGCCAAAGGTCATCAACACGTGGCTGGATCAACAAAACGCAGTGATGCATACGAGAGAATATTCAACGCTGAAGAGTAATACAGTTCCGACACATGGGAAACGTGGAGGAGCCTTGCAAACATCATGCTGAGGGAAGCTAGCCAGACACAGAAGGACAGATAGTGTGTGATCCCACTTATCTGAGGGGCCGAGAATAGGCAAGTTCACAGAGACAGAGGGACACAGAGATTTCCAGGGGCTGGAGGGAGGGGAGACTGGGAAGTTGTTGAAAGGGGACAGAGCTTCTGCTGTGGTAATGAGAATATTCTGGAAGTGGGTAGTGGCGATGTTTGTGCGGCCTTGTGAACATGCTTAGTGCCACTGAGTTGTACACGGTGCAAATGGTAAACCTTATGTACATTTTTACCGCCAACAATGAAAAAATGCAACTTGCAGACATCGGTACTTACTCTTAAATGCTTCAGCATGCATAGCATTAAGGAGGGTTAAATATATATTTATAACATTTTTCTTTTCATGTAAATATAATGAGCTGTAAAAATTTTAAGTGTAGGGGTTTTTCAAGTTTTCACAAATTCATTCACCTGCATAACACAAATCCTTATCAAGATATCACCCCAGAAAATTTACTGCCCTTCCCAGGGAAGAGTTCTGACAGGATTTCTTAGAAATTAAGAATGGAGAATCCACAGCCAAGGATTTTTTTGCTTCTACTGATATTGGCCCTCCCTCTGAGCGTTGTGTGACTAGCAATCTAGTGCTGTCCCTGAGTGTGGAAGACAAGGGAAGCGCACAGGAAGCTGGGGAAAGGCTGCGTATGTCCCAGTGCTGGGCGATGGGGTGTGTGTGTTGGGGGAGCTGGAGGTCAAGAGAACAAGTGCCCTGGAATTCAGATCAGAGCTAGTTTCCCATTCTCACTAAAGCAGCTTTACCAGAACTGTCCCTTGGTATGTTCCCTCATTTGCTACCTAGGTTCACCTCCCCTTTGGCTCTTAGTAAAATCCCTCCTTGTCCCCTTGTCTCAGGCCATGGACTTTGATCCACCAGCTCATGGCTGTCGGAGAGGTTCTGTTGCTGAGACCTGCGTGGAGGACACTTGAAGCCAAGTGGCCAGTGGCAGTTCCTTGTGTGTGTGCTGCATGGATGGCCTGGGCCAGCAGTGACAGTGTGAACCTCAGGGGGTCGATCCCCAAACTGGAGACTTGCCTTTGTTCCTATTGTCTCAGGACACAGTTCCTTCCCTTCCTCCTCCTGAACAAACTCATATTTTATTGAACTATAAATTTCTGAACCGGTTATCTCATGAGAATGGTTCACGTTACTTATTTCAAAAAAATCGTATAGCACAAAGAAAGTGCGTCTTTTTAGCACCTCCAAGAAGCATATCTGGTTTATATCCTTCGGTAACTTTTTAAAATGCACATACAAGAATGTATATGTCTCTGTATTTAAAAATTGTACCAAATTATTCATAATGATCTACGCTTGCTTTTCTCACTTGAAAGTCATGTTTCATAGACAGGACGGACTATGCATTTCTTCTACCCCAGTAAGATGGATGCCTTTGAGAAACAGACTCATAGAACTCCCTCGGAGTTCAATTTCTTTTTTTCCTTTACAAAGTCACGTGGATTAATCCCAGTATCTCAAGTAAAATTTTGGTTGTAAAATGACATGATTGACCAACAACTTATGTATTCACAATTTTCCATCCACTGACTTTTGTACATGTCTAAGGAACATCCCTCACACCCCATCCTCCAAGCCAGATTTTGAAAAGAGCTTCAGTAGTCTGTGTGAGGGATGGTATGAGCCATTTCTTTAGTGGGGGATGGGCAGAAAAGAATTGAAACATACAACAAAGCAAGGGAAAGTGTGAACTCCCTTATGGCACCAGGAGTGGCAAATTCCAAGTCATTGTTACAAAATAGGAGACCGTGAGACCCTAATCCTGAGTTTTGTTTGAGTCCAGTGTTGAATGAAATTATGGAACATGAAACACTTTGTAATCCTCCATGCATGGCATTGTAGGTATTATATTAGCGTTTTATTTTGAGAAGCAGTTTCAGTTTGCAGAAATAAACTCTAGATGATGGAGTGCTTGGTGGCCAGTGTCCTTAGTCCTGAAGCCTGAAATCCTAAAGACACTTTCTATTAAAAATTAAAGGGTGGGGAGAGGTACAGTCTATAAAAAGCATTTAAGAAAAAACAACTTCACCCAGAAAGTTTTAACTATAATTAGACAATAGCAAGAGGTTACTGGGGCTATCTTGAAATGGTAGGAAAGTTGAAAGATTAAAGAGTATTTTAAGTGTGTGTGTTGAGGGGTATAAGGTGGAGATGATGGCAAGAGAAGGAGCAGGTGGGTAGGCAAGGAAGAAGGGGCGATGGGGAGGCAGGGGGATGCGTCAAGAGGAAAGTCCATGTGATGGTTAAATGTCATGTGTCAACTTGGCCAGGCTATGGTTGGTGCTCAGTGGTTCGGTCAAATTCTCAGTCTAGGCCAGCGATTTTCAACCTTTTTCATCTCATGGCACACACAAACTAATTACTAAAATTCTGCAGCACACCAAAAAATTTATTTTTTGCTGATCTGACAAAAAAAAAGTTGTAATTTTGATTCACTCACACCACACAGCTATTGTGTTGGTAGTTGTCACTTTTTACTTGACAATCTAAGGGAAAAGAGGTCAGTGCCCCTGACTAAATAGTCAGGTATTGCCCTGTTTTAAAAATTCTTGCAGCACACTGGTTGAAAACGGTTGGTTTGGGTGTTGCTGTGAAGGTATTTTGTAACTGTAATTAGCATCTATGATCAGTTGACTCGGAGTAAAGCACAGTATCTTCCATAATGTGGGTAGGACTCATCCAATCAATTGAAGACCTTAGGAATTCTGCTTTAATAAAGACTGTAACATAGAAATTCTGCCCGAGTTTCTAGCCGGACAGCCTGCCCTAGAAACTTTAGACTTGCCAGCATCCACAATGGTATAAGCTAATTCCTTAAAATACAGATTTTGTCAGTGGTTCTAGAGGAAAAGAATCTTAAGAATGAGTTTCCTGAATTGGTTTCTGGGGCTGATTCTCTAATCTGATTAAAGGCACTAGTTCCAGTTGTAAAGAGAGCACTGATAGTCTATGACATGATGTGGCGACAGAGATAGGCAAAATACGACCAACGGATATTCCTAATCAGATACTTAAAAGAGGTAAGGTTCTGGGTGACCGTGTATTTGATAACTAGAACATTTTGGTTAAACTAATGAATGTGAGATTGGCTGCTTGCTTGTAACTGCTCTGGACAAAGTGAGGAACGAAAACGATGACCTCAGGGCTTTGAATTTCTGGCTCTAGTGTAACCTAAACGACCAGTTTCTGTACCTGCCCTAAAAGAAATTCCTATCACTTGTAGCCACCGAGCTAAGATTGTTGCAAACCAAAGCCTAAGTCTCATCTTCCAAGTGGCTGAATTACAATGCCAACCGAACTCTCAGCTCAGAAGGTATGAGCTGTTCAAGTGAGGGCATCGATTGGGAAGGAATGTCCTGAAATCTGGAATGGGGTATTTGGGAAATTCTGAAGCTGGGGATGTTGAACCCCTGAATCTTGCTGAGCCTCTTTGCCAGAAGCAGGCCTTCTACCTCTGCCTGAGCAATGGCCTCCCGAGGTAGTTTCCTTGCAAGACATTGTCGACATTCTTAGGAGCTGCCCTCGCCACCCCTCTTTATTTCTATAACCAGACTCAAGTCCCAGCCAGCCCTGAAAAGTGCGGAACAAAGTATGACCCATAAGGAAGTGCACTACATTCCAAAAGAACAGCCTGGTTTTTCCAATTTATACATATATCTGAGGAACATGAGAAGAAATGAATATTAAGGGTATGGGGGTAACAGTGGAAGAAACATACATCAGACTGAATTTAGTAACATGGCAGAGATTCGAAATTCATTATAATGAGGGCTTTCCTATGTAACCATGTGCCTAGGCAGTTTGTTCCCTTCTGAGTTTATTTTTTAAAAATATGTTTTTATTGATTTCAGAGAGAGGAAGGGCAAGAGAGAGACAGAAACATCAATGATGTGCTTCCTGCAACCCCACTGGGGATCCAGCTCACAACCCAGGCATGTGCCCTGACCAGGAATCAAACCGTGACCTCCTGGTTCATAGGTTGACACTCAAGCACTGAGCCAAGCCAGCCAGGCCTGAGTTTATTTTTAGTTCAGAGATGAGGTAGCTAAACTGGTTTCACCTAGTGATGTTTCACCCACCTTCAAAAGCCAGAACTATTTTGTAGCCCAGCCTCACTTCCTGAGATTTTGAAGACATTTCTTCGTTACTACCAAGCACCTGAGATTTGTCCATCACAACCACTATATTTACTTTTGCTAACACTAGGTAACAAATGAGGCTTTTCTAAGAAGATCTATGTGGAATCTCAAACAGAGACTTGGCAGAACAAAGATAAAACAGCTTTGGCAATCCTCTTGTGTCTACTTCTTACCCAACTGCAGAGGAGCCACATGGTCTTCACCAGCAATTCAGGGAGGTGCTACAGTAACTGGCTCTGAGGCTTTTATCACATGACCTTACTAGGCCATCACCATCCTGAGTCCAAGGAAGACGAGGTCCTTTTCTAGTACCTAAAACCCACGATTCTGTATATATGTCTACCTTTCTAAAAAGGAAATTGTTTTTCTTTATTAAAACAAATTTACCCTTGTCCTTCCAGATTGTTTATCACATTTTCCTAGATCCAAGAGCTAGGTCAACAGTCAATGGGCAGCAGACATAAAATCTGCATGTTTATAACTAGACGATCCAGAGGGCTACCCAGTATCTTTCTCCTATACACCACTGGTACATTTAGTTATGTCTTTATAGCCCAATTCTATTTCCTGACTATGCACAAAGTTAAAGCATTACAAACAGAAAGAAGTTCCACTTCTACATATTGAATTAAAATTTATTTTAAAAGGTAAACTTTTATATATCCTTTTAAAAAATGAAAATTCAAGTGTCTTAGAATTAAACCAGGAGTCTTCAATATTATAAAGCTATTTATAATAGTAATTAAAGTACTGGTAACATTTTACCTTTATAAAAATGTCACAGAATTCATATCACAACTTGGATCCTTAATGATCCAAGTTTCTTATCTTACACAATACGGGTCTGATCAGTTTAAAGATAAAATTCCTCTGGATGTGCCATCCTCAAGGCTTCTATTGTCACTGTCCATCAGCTCACACAGTGGGATAGCTGGCTGCTGTGGCGATTCCACAGTGGTTGTTCTGGTCTCTGGCCATTTTTACGTAGCCATTCATGCCCCATCCTGAACCCCAGCTGAAAGAAGAGCACATTTTTCCATTTTATACAAAGAATCAAGTACACACTAGGTTTATTAATAATATTAGCTAATACTTAAAATAGTGTTTACCATGTATCAGACACTATTCGAAGTGCTGTTACATATATTTATAAGTCTATTAATTCCCCTGGGTCCTTATTTTAACTTATGAAGAAAGGAAACTGAGGCAGAACTGGGACCAATGTAGCAGTCTATCTCCACAGGCTATCTTACACATCACCTCAGTTAAAGAACGTTAGCTGCGAAAATTGCTCCCAACAACCCCCAAGGCCCCTGAGAGATGGGAAGCAGAATGCAATGGCGAGGCATCAAATGAATGATAACAGGAAGGATGCAAGGAGGCTGCTCAACTCTGGGACAATTTTTAGCCTTAAAAAATCAGCAGAAGCAAACGTTTCTGTCCACTGAACCTGGCTGAAAAACTGGGAGACAGAAAAAGGAAACCAGGGCTCAACCCTGCAGGTAAAAAATCCTTTATCTGAAACCCTTCGGGACCAGATATGTTTCTTAATCAAGAAAATTTTCAGAATTTTGAAATGCAGTGTTACAAATACATAATAATGACACTAACAAGGTAGCTACAGAATCTTAAAATCAAGCATCAGAAATTCCACGTTGACTCAAGTGGGAGAAAGACTTCTGGGATTTCAAAATTGAGATTTTTGGACCTGAAACCAAATACTGATTCCAAACAAGGATTCCCTTTTCAATTTCAAAGATAACATTTGAAGTTTTTTATACCTGTTCTTGACAATCCAAAATTTATTGCTGTTTGATTCTCCCCCTTCAGAGCCATAGCCAACCACCAGGACACCGTGGTCCAGGTCTTTGCTGCTGCAGTTTGGTTCATAATATATGCCTATGACAGTAAAAGTCAACGTTAGGGTGAGAAGCTCTAAGTGACAGGAACCCATCCTATCACCACAGTTAAGAGAGGCATCTCAAAATTTAGTATAATGTCATAAACTCCAAATAAGACTTAAATATTTGTCAAAAAATAATGACGATAAAAAGTAAAAAGTCAAATTCAACTCACTAGAATCAACAAAATTTAACTAAATCCAATATATTTTAATACTACCTAAAAAAAAAAAAAAAAAATCCAGTAAGATCTAGTTATCAATAATAATATGATTTAGATACTCACCTAATTAATATTAATTAGCATAGTCCTTCCTACTCCTAGAATGCCAACTAAAGGTTCTATAAAGAGCCCTTGAGCCATAGGGCTCTTTACAGTTCTAATTACAATAGTAAGAAATTTTTGGAAAGAAGGTCCAACAATTGAAGAATAGTTATGTAAATTTAGGTTGTATTTACAGAATTAATTACATAGCCACTTAAAACTATTTATGAAGTTTGTCATCATGAGAAAATGTTTAAAGTGGAAACATCACCATGGTAAGTGCACACACTCAAAATTCTACAGTCCTAGAAAGCAGGACTCCATACCAAAAAGTTAATCGTGATGTTTTCCAGTTTTGCCTACCTGAATTTCTATAATAAAAAGACAAACACCTACCTGCATTATAGAACTGGAACGATGAATGGCCTGCATCTATAGCAACAGAGATGGGCCCCACAGTTGCCACTGCCTTCATAAGGGACCTCTCACGCTGCGGGATATCCACAAAGCCGGTGTCATTGGCAGCAGAATACTCAGGTTTGTAGTTACAGGTATCTGATTCCTTTTAAAGGAAAGGGGAAAGAAACTTAATGACTACCATCTACCTCCGGGGGAACATTAGTTCTCAGACCCCAAAACTCAGCAGTTTGCACCTTAATGATTTCTAAGTCAACTTTGTATTACAGCAGCCCAGGGAGCAAAAGGGAATTGGTTGCCTTGAAATTGAAAAATTAGATGTTTCTTCAATAAGACCCCTTTTTCTGTGCAGAATAGTGCATATATTCTCCATTACATAGACGTAAGAACAGCTACAGTTAACCACTTAATCAGAGATCTGTGCAAAGGTTGCTAATTTATAGTGACAGTTCTGACAGTTTGTATCTAAAATATGAATGCTGACTAAGGTGTCTGTTATCTCTGAAAATTTTCAACTTTCAAAAGCAGAGCTGGAATAACAAGATAAGGAGCTCCGTTTACCCTTCCAAGATATGGATAGGATTCCTCTGAGTCCAGGCCTTTGTTGTCCTTGACATACTGGAAGGCATTATCCATTAGCCCACCATTGCAGCCCTCATTGCCCTGAGAGTGAGAGCAGTCCACCAGGTTCTGCTCGCTCAGAGAAACAAGTTTGCCAGTTTTACGGAACATCTGTCCTTCAAGGGCACCAGTTGCACTAAAAGCCCAACAAGAACCGCATTGACCCTAAAAATAAAAAAAGCCATCAGTTTATAAGAGAAATACGAAGACTGATAACAGCCCATATACCAGAACACTCTTCAAAAAACCCCAGCAAACTGCATGTTATTCCAGTCAACCAGAGCAGGGATGCCATTGCTTTTTGGCTTTCCTGAGATAAGAGATCTGAATACTGTCAGACCTGATTCTTCACAGGAGTTACATAGCCTTTGTCTCTCCAATCCACAGATGGGGGTACTGAAGCAAAGAGAGGTTCTCGGAACACTTTCCCCTTCCTGTGCTTCTGGCTTTGAAAACCGTTCATCACCTGCCTGAATTCTTCATTGGTCTGTAAGGAAAAGTTAATAGACTGTTGAAAAAGCAAGAGGCCATTCTGTAAAAGTACTGAGGACAGGAAGCACAAAAAGCAAAGCCTCCCGTGACACACTCACCATGTCCCCATAGGCGTTCATCGCCATGGTGAAGCCATGTTTCCTTTGGCTGTACTCCCGGTTATGCAGTTCAATCATTTTCATATTCTTTTCCCACACTGCTCTCCTCCACCCTTCTTCATTCTAGAGGCAAACATATACCGTGTTGTCTTTATTTCTATTGAAAACCCAGTCCATCCTCACTAAGTGGATTTGCAGACAGAAAGAGAAACCACCACCAGGGAAGGCTTTATACTTATGGGTGCTGTTCTCCAAGTGCCAACACAGGGATGTATACCCATATGGTGCTCACTAATGGCTGCCATTAAATTATTGCCTTGGTAAAGCTCACTTCTAGCTATAAGGTACTCTCTAGCTATAAACGCCAAACCTCAAGGGCCCTTCCCTATGGGGTCCCTCTGGGCAGTTTCAGATGTTACCAACCACGCCATATAGTCTCCTGTGCGTTGCCTTCCACTGGTACCATGATGCATCCAAACTGGGATCAAGTCTTGGAGTAGCTGAGGCTATCCCCAAGCAGAGGGCAGCCAGGAGGAGTGAAGGAGTCATGTTTCAAAAACCTAGGAAGGGGGGAAAAGTGAGTTACCTGATTAGCCCAATCCTTCTAAAAAGCCATCTTACTTTCTTCTGAGATGTTATAGTCACCCTTGTGGGGTAAAAACATTTAAATTACCATCCCAAATACTTATGGAAGGTCTGTGGAAGAAGGCTAAGGATGTGGGTGGGGAAAACAGGTCAAGCACTTACCAAATAGTGGAGGCATATGATTCAGCCATCAAAATGAAAAACAGGCTGACAAGTGCTATAGGAGTTGAAACAGACTTCACTGTAACAGCGCAAGGATCATTTAGGTTTTGATAAGGGTCTCCGGGTACCTTATGGATCAGAATCTTAAAGCAACGACTTGGAAACTGTTGGTCGAGGCCATTTACACAAGGTATCAAAGTGAGTGACCCAGGAAGTCGTATCTATCAGGACGTCTGATCCCAAGTCGGGACAGGGATCCCCAGGTGTCCACCTTGCACCTTTCTTCTTGACTACTGCACCTCGCGGGGTGAGGTGTGCCTTGCAGCTGAAACCTTTCTGAAAGGCCTTCGCAGGAAAGCACGGGCAGCTGCGCACCCAGCATTCTGACCTACCCTTGGCCTCTGCAGCCGACACCCCCAGTCCCGGCCGCAACCGCGCCGCGATCACGTGCCCGCGGGGCGCACAGAGCGCGGGGCTCTCCAGGCGCCCCGAGCCCC